TTCCTGGTAGCAGCTTTATGACCCCACAGTGGAGGGGAGGGATGGAGGAGCTGGGCAGGCTGGGCCTGGCAGCCTGGCCTGTGCTTCTCCCAAGGGAAGGCTGGGCCATGAGTCCACATGAGGGAAAGCAGGTGTCATTAACAGAAAGTGAAAGCACCCTGTCCCAGGGGAGGAATGGGCCCAATTGCAGGGCATGGGAGCACTGGATTTGTGTTAGAATGAGAAGCAGCACAGCCTCTCCCTTGCTGGGCAGGGACAGCCTACAGCACTCACTCCAAGGGACTGGGCAGGACAGGATCCCATGAGAACGGGTCCCACTGCAGCCCTGACCCTATGGGAGAGGCAACTGTTTTTTCAGATGGAAGAATCAAAAATTGGCAATGAATGAAAAATTAACTTTTTCTGAGGCTGCCAGTGGCTGGAGGAGGGCAGCTGGACTGAGAAGCCTTCAGCAGACTACATGTTGTATGTTTACCAAGGAGGAAACCTTGTAAAATGTGCTGGGGCAGATGTAGTGGTTACAAATCACATGTGCTGTCTAATTAAGATCTCAATATCAAATGTTGTAATGTTTGACAATATCTGGTTCTCGACTCACCTTGTTTTAGAGGTGGCAATTTTGAGGCTCATCTCCATATGCGAGATTTCAGTCCCATCAGAGTTTGGGAAGTTTGGTCCTGGGCTCTGGTGTGCTGAGAAGACAACAAATGTATAGTCTCTGTCAGAAAGAAAAGGGAACAGTGGTCAGATGCTTGAAAAATATTTCTTCTGCTACTGGAAAGCTTCAGCACCTTTCCCTTCAACAGCATCAGCTTGTAGCTGAGTTCACTGCATGCACGGCTGTGCTCCCTGGATTCTCAGAGCCCATGGCTGTAGTGACTTGACATGTTTTCAGAATAGCTTTCTGTAAGTTAATCCAGATGGCATGTCCTGTTGCCTCTGTACAAATACCTAGTAAATAGTTTTTAAAACTTTCTTGAAGCACGATTCCCTTCTTGATTCTCTACAACCATCCTGCTGATCATTGTAGCAGATTCTGTTCTTAATTTCACTACAATAAATGTGAAGTAACCTCATTGACATCCAATCAGAGTGGATTTCAGCTCACTGCATTGCCTTAGGTCTGCAGTCTTGTACACAGGAGCTGTTCATGTAGACTAAATTCAGTACAGAGCATTAAATACTGTCACGTTTGTAATTAACATTAGAGAGCGATATGAAGCCTTGAAGCTATGAAATCCCTTAAGTCCTATAGAAAACATTTCTTTATACAGATCTCAAGTGTTTTTTGAAGAAATTCACCCTAAAAGATGGAGAATTGCTGGGACATGAAGAACATAAGGCTCTAAGACTGTATATTGGAGAAAAGTTCCCTCAGAAGTGTGCATTTAGTCACCTTTGGTGACACATGCTGCCTTGCCTGTCACCTCTGCAAGTGTGGCCTCACTTTCACTGTTATTGCAACATGTGTCAAATGAAATGAAAACAGAGATTTGGGAAAGGATATAATTAACCTACTTGTAAACATTAACCTTAAATATCTTGCTAATTATCTCACTAATTTAATCACTGCAGATCTCAAACTTGTTTGTTAAATATTTAATTCTGCAAATTGTTTTTGATACAGAGGTGTGGGGAGCTTTCTGTGAATGTAAGTTACTTTGTAAAACTCCGTAAAACCATTGTTATGTTCACACTTCATTGAACAAACCCTGCTGTCAACAAAACTTTTAATGGAAATCACAAGCAACTGTGCCTTGAGGCAAAGAGATATAGTGCTCTATTATTTTAAAATCTAATGAACACATTGTGTGGAGTGTAGACCAGGGTAAATTTCTTCCTGCACATCTTCAGGTTTGATTCTATGAAAGTCTAGACTAGAAAGCTCTGGGTTTCCTTGTTCCTTTGGTTGCAGTGAAGCAATACAGCTTTTTCTTACCTAATCACCTCTGTATTACTTGAGTAACTCAGCAAGATTATATCCTTGAATTTCAGCCCTTTTTATCAAGTCACTACCTTGGGCTACAAGGAACCTAAAAGGTGTTTTGATACTCCAGTTACAATGCTACCCAAAGTGCCTCTAATTATTCCTGAGAGGAAGCTCTCGAATTTGGTAGTGTTTGTTGAGAAGCTGAAAGCTCTGTTTTTGTTCCTTCCTCCCTGATGGGAAGGGGGCTGTGCTCGTGCTGCCTCCTGCAGACACCCACGGCACAGCCAAGCATTGCAGGGCATGGGGACACCTCCAGTGCTGAGGCTGGGAGAGGAAACAGGTGGGATGTGGGTGCTGGGAACACCCCGGATGGAGCGGAAGGCTAAGACAGGACACGCTGGGGACATCCCGGATGGAGAGGATGGCTGAGCTGGGACACACTGAGGAAGGAGTAGAAGGCTACACCAGGACATGCTAGGGACATCCTGGAAGGAGTAGATGGCTAAGCCAGGACACACTGAGGAACAGCCTGGATGGGAGTGGATGGCTAAGCCAGGACACACTGAGGAACAGCCTGGATGGGAGTGGATGGCTAAACCAGGACACACTGAGGAACAGCCTGGATGGAGAGGATGGCTAAACCAGGACACACTCTTGAGGCTGGAGGCGCCCAAATCCTCTGTCCCATGAGAAGGCAGGGACCCTCAGCTGTGCAGTTCTCCCCTCAGACAGGAGCCCCGTGTTTCAGGCTGTACCCCCATGGCAGTTCTTTGTCAGTGTCATTTTCTCCATTTCTTCTTAACTGAGGAAGAAGGTGGAAGATTGGGATTTGTGTTTCTGACTGTAATTCTTACTAGCAGAGGAAAGTGCAAAGGTATGCTAAAGTCAGGTGGCGGCACACAGCAGACCTGTGACAAGAGCCATTTGATTAGTCAGGTGTCCATATAAATACCTATTTGGGACTATATTACTACCTTATCATATATTATTTAGAATTTCATCCTGATTGTCTGTGGTTGTTTATTACACACTTATGTACTGGTTAGTTCAATAAAAAAAAACAAATTTCTATGGATTTAGCTGAATAAAGCTCTGTTTGTTCCTATTAGTTATATGAAGTTCTTTCTATGCATTATCTCAATTTCTGGGCATTTTTCCCTTAATTTACTCCAAAAATTACTTCAGTACTAATGAATACTGAAAGACAGCCAAGACAGGAAGAACTTTTGGACAATTTATACAAACATGACAGATGATAATAGATTTACTGTAAACATGTCAGGCACAAAAGACTTGACTGCTTTTTTAAATACAGTGATACTGGAAAAGATTTATGGATATTTTCAACTCTTCATTAAAGAGAAAATATTTTGAAACTATAGGCTCTATCCTTTTATCCATTTTTGCCTTCCAGGCTAAGTTGCAAACCTTTGATGTTTTCTTCACCAAAAAATAAAAGTAGTTATGAATTTATTTCTTCCAAGTACTTTCATTTTTGTGTCATTTTACAGTTTTTATTACATTCCTGGCAGTCCAAATGATGGTGTTTGGAGAGTACCTAGAGTCCACAGCTCTAAGTTTTCTGAAAATAAAGACTAAGTTCACTTACTGATGCTTTCTGGCTACTGTATTTTTTCTTCTTTAGTAATAAAAGGTTAATGAAATCTCTGAATACTTTAACTGCCTGTTAGACCAACCAACCAACCAGTTAAAGGTTATTCTATTCTAAATGACTGGACGCTATTTGAATTGATAAAAGTTAACATGAAATAGCTAGTATCTGTTGGATCAGGTTAATAAAAACCAAAGTCTTAGACATGAAAATCATGTATAAATATGGTTGCTGTAGTTGACCCAGATATCAATTTTTACAGCCAGGTGTATTCTTAACTGTTATTGTCGGAGTCAGCTTCCATGCCCTTACAAATCAATAGCAAGCCTTGCTTTCAACTTCAGTGCAGCTGATGTTGTTGGCAGTCAATGGTTTTGCAAGATCAGTTCAAGATACTGGAATGGTTTCAGAGAATTATTGGATTCTTTCTTTCTAAAGTAGTGTTAAACTCATAAGTAGGAATTTAAGGAATTTAAACGTGAAAATATATGCACTTGCAATGCTTCTTAAAACTAGTGTATCTTGCCAAATCTCCTATCAAGTCAAAGCAGTGCACCAAAATGATAGCAGAAAGGATTTTGCAGTGCTCAGACATCTAATCTGGCATACTCACAGTGCTGAGCATGCCCTCATTTTTTGAATAGTGGGAAAAGATGGAGAAAGAGGAGATTTGGGTGGAAAATAAGAGTTTTCATTGCAACCTTAGAAGAATGTTGGCAATTTTGTAACAGAATGATTTAATGTTCTGAGACCATTCAAAGGAAGGCTGGAGGCTTAATAAAGGCTTCATTTTGGAAGAATGGATAGCTGAAAGTAGTATTTTACTAATTCTTATTGGAGGCACATTTCCGGCTTTTGAAAATTAATTTAAGAGCCACAAACCAACACACATTTATGAATAACATAGTGCTGTTGGAAATAATGCAAATGTCTTTATAAATAACGTATTATAGCTTAAATCATTATTTTTAATGCCTTTTTTTTTTTTCCTATATGAACAGGTCTGTACTGGTCTGCACTAATTAAATGTAGGTAGGTTTGTAAGGCCAGATCATCATTACTTCTATGTCCCTGATTTAAATCTGCAGTAAAACATTTCTCCATTTAGTTTGGTGCTTTTGTGTCATATTTCATACACTAGTTGTCTCTTAATTAAATCCATGATAGCCCACCAACACAGACTATTAAAATAACTATACTTTGCACTTGACATATTTATGAGACAGATTCATAAGAGTATAGACTGATACTTGAACTACTCACTGAGAAATGCTAATAAGATTATGATGAAGGTAAGATTAGAACATTCGTCTCCTTTTCACTTCTCTCTTCTTTATAGGAATTTATTTTTATAACTGCAATTCACTATTTCTATTCCAGGCTCTTTGATGTTGCTGTATATACCAACAGTTCTTTCTGTGTCGATTTATTGTGGCAATGAAGAGTGGGAAACCGCTAATTTATATCACCAGGAAAGTGCATAACTGTTGTGTTCCTTGAAGTATGAATGTTTGCAGACGTCTGTAAACCTTCACATGGGACTGACATGTTCAAGATAATACCTTTGGAACTGGGTGATGAACAATATGGATGATGGTAAAGTGCTACTTTGTTTTACTTTTATTGTCTTATTCCCTCAACTCTCCTGGTGGTGTAGAGCTGGCTGAACCTGCTCCTGGAGGAGGGAGGCGACAGTGACATTGTGCCTGTGACCCCTCAGTGCCTGTTTCTGTGCCTGTGACCGCTCAGTTCATGTTTCTGTGCCTGTGACCGTCAGTTCATGTTTCTGTGCCTGTGACCCCTCAGTGCCTGTTTCTGTGCCTGTGACCCCTCAGTGCCTGTTTCTGTGCCTGTGACCGCTCAGTTCATGTTTCTGTGCCAGGCAGGCCATGCTCTTGCCCATCCCTCAGCTGTGGCAGATGCAGTGGTGTGTCCTAAGCTGTGCAAGCTGCTCTGGGCAGCTGGACTGTCACTGCAGTGTTGGAAATGGCCTGGGTGTATGGCCTCAGTGGGTAAGGAAAACAAGCAAATCCACAAATCATATCACTAGAAAGACTATTAGACATATGCTAAGATTTGATCATTCACCTGTATAGATATCTTGGAATTGCCTTCTTAGCATTATATACAGACAGAGCTGCTGATATAATTTGTTTGTTAACTTTCTTAGTAATTTGATGTGGAAAGTTCAAGGAACTCCATGTTTGAGAAAAATGTTGCTAGAAGTGAAAGAACTGATAAATGAAAACAATCAAGGATTTCTATCATTTTTCAGGACCACGATGTTCACATCTTAGGGACCTTTCCTCTCTATTTTTTCAGATTCCCATTCTTGCATGGAAGAGCTTCCACTCATCATTGTTTTGGGGTCCAGGTGTGGGTATAAATGGAAAGGTCTCTAAATACATGCAGCTTGAAAGGAATGTATTTTACAAGGGGAGTCTATAGAAAGCCATGTCTACATGATGCTCAGATGTTCAGGAGGATAAATACATTGCTCTGTTTCATCCTGTTATTCTCTGTGAATGCAACAAAAACATCAAATTCTGGGATTTCATTTAGAAATTAATACAATATTAGAAAGTAAGAATAATAAAGTTATATTAAATATTTCATCCTCTACAGAAATAAACCAGATATAGTTCAGGGAGCTTCACTAAACACATTAAATCTAATAAAATTGCCTACACGTACTCCTGACACTAGTAGTAATTAAAATAACTTGTTTCAAAAAACTGGTTCTATACATGAATACTTATTGGCAATTATTTCCAAGTTCTTCAAACCAAAGATAAAGTAATTTGATTCACACACAATGTTCTTGTAAACGTGGTTCATACTGGGTTTTATATGCAGCTTAGGACTGTTAATTGCCATTTTGAGCCTCACAGTAAAATAGAGTTCAATATGTCGCTTTTTCTGAAGTATTGAGAAATGTTTGAGAAATGCTTGTCTTAGTCTAATCATCTGTGAATAATTTATTTCTGAGTCCTACTTTTCAGTATAAATGGATCTGACTTTTCTCAGAGCTTCTCAAGTCTAATCAACTTGTTGCATTCATTTAATTAAGGAAATCTGTAGCAAAGTGTGAAGTCTAAGTACCAATAGGCCTTTTTTGTTCTGCAAAATTAGTGTATTTTCATTGTGAATGTGATTGTGATTGTTTATACTGACAGGTCGCCTCCACTGAAGAAATCAGTGTTTTTTCTACACTTATGGGTCAATATGAATAGCGCATAAACTGTTTTCTGAACTGTCTCTCTTATAGTAAACCCACCACCCAGCTTCCCAAATTCACACAAAAGCAGCTTTCAGGCAATTCTCATTTCTGGAAGGGTTATGAGTGTTCTTCCATGCCCCAAAGGGGAAGAAGATATAATAAAGGTATAACATACTAGAGTGGGGCTAAGAGACTGACTTTTTAGTCACAGTTAGCCTGAAAAAGATAATCATACTTGAGGATTAAAGCACTGGCACAAGCTCATGGTCAAGATCTGCATGCCACAGAGTCAGCCACAAAGGGCTGAGCTAAGGTGCTGATTCAACATCCTGGCTGTTTCCCAACTTTACATAATTTGTTCTCATTTCTCTGAGAAATCAGCATTCTAGGAAGGGAATAGCTGGCACAATAAAGGGCTTTGGCATCATATATGCATTTGTTTTTAAAAAGGCCCTATATTTATTTGCTAATAAATGTTCAGAAGTCCATCATTCCTTTCATATTTATGTGATATGAGGAATACTTTTTATTAGAAATATAGAGAGATGCTGTGGAGATTGACATATTATTTTTTTCTCCTTATCCTCAGACAAACTCCAGACTCAGAGAAAAAGTCCTCAACTCTGGTCTAAAATACTGTCCAGTGCTTATGGGTTATAAAATGAAAATCATCAAAACTGTCCTTGACAGGATGTTTCTTTCCATTAGTTGATTAAAATGGTTTATTGTTGCCTACAGCATTGTTACTTTAAATGTATATTTTAACAAAGAGCAGATGTGGCCATGTCTTGCACTGTTTCTCTTTCTGTGGTTTCTGATACAGAAATGAATCACTACCTTGGCAGATCCTCCTGTGGGGAGGGAGAGGGAAAGGTGAGGGATTCAGCAATGGGCTGGGGTATCAGCTGGGAGGGGGTTGTGCAACAGTACTGCAGAAAGTTGGAGGAAAACCATGCAAACCTTCAACCAGCAAGTGCTCAGAATAGAAGAAATCCCCAAAATCTTGAATTATCTGCCTGCCATTGCTGTATGTTTGCTCTGATAAAGCAAGAAGTGGGTTCTGATATTTTTTTCAGACAACTCTTAACGTTTCAAATACAGTGTGGAAATGGAGAGTAGCTGATCCTAAAATATTAAACAAGGTTGTACCCCCATGAACTCTCATCTATCCACTGCTGTTACAAAGAGAACTGAAAAAGTCAAGTCTTTGAGATGTATGTTAAATTTCTTTGTTTCTTTCCCCTCCATGTTTGATGGAGGAGCTGAAATCTCAATACAAATCCTATTTCCAAATCTAGGGGTCATTTCAAGCAATAGTTACAGAAAGGTACCTTTCCATTCCCTAGCACAATTTTTCTAAGGCATGTTGTCATCTGATGATAATAGGGTCTTTCACTAGCCAATCTCAAATTATTGGCCATGTGACCTTATATTCAATAAATATTTATTTGAGAATCATAGGTTAATTAATTTCCATTGTTTCTGTTTTAATTCTATACATGCTTATACTATACAATTAGAGAAAAACACAGCCACGAGTAAATGTTGCTCATACAAAATGTTTCTATTACCCTTTACTTTTAAAACCATTAATAGATTATTAGGAGATGTAAACATTGGAGACCATGGATCATATTTGCATGTTAATCAAATCCATGAATTATACATTATTTTCTATGGAGAGTACTAGAAACAATATTCCTCCTTTCTTATAGCTATAAAAGCTGGAGGTTTCCTGGAGCACAGATCACATCCCCTCTGCAATACCTTCTGATAGAAAGAAAGAAATCCAGCTTTTCAAAGCAATCTCTCACTAAATGAAATAGATTTGTTTGTGTTGCTTTGCAACACACAAGTGTGACAGTTCATTTTAAACAAAATAGTTTTAATAATGTCATTACTAATATCTCTTTGGTCATCTCTCTGAAAAATTGTGTTTTAATAGGAATGTTTCATTTTAATAAATGGCAGAAGAGGCAAGCTGCCCTGAGTCAGCAGGAAGTGGATATACACCAGAGAACAGGCTGATTGTGTTAGATTCATCCAGAACATTGAACAGCACACAGACAGTCCAAGAAAAAGCAACTGGCTGTATTCAAATGATTAGTCTTACTGCTATGCTGTAGCACAGATTCACACATTCTTCTATTATTCCTTGACCTTCTGCCAAAAACTCCCACTTCAAGTAATAATTAGAATTAGTGTTTCCAGTGCATGCTTCCATCTTCCTAACAAACAGTAATGAAATGTGGCTTTTACAAAATATGCAGTTAATTAAACTTTTTTTTTTGAACATTGTTTGATTAATACAGTTCCCCTGTGCTAGCCCCTCATTATGCCTGACTACCTGGGATTGGTGAATTGAAAGAAAAGCACTATCAATAAGATGAGTGAGATTTCAGAATTTTGCACTTTAAAATTGCTTGTGCTTTTAATTTTTTTTCTTTTTCTTTTGTTTAGGTCTTGGAATAAACTGAAAAGACACCCTTTATTTGTAATCCTGTTTTTTTAAGCTGAGGACAGTATTATATAACAACTCTACGAATACCCTCAGTGTGAATTTGAAGAACACATATATCAAGTGCTACAAGATAACAAGTGCATTTCTAGGCAAGCTTTTTGAAAAGGTGTATCAGCACTGTATTGCTTAATAACACTATGCAAATAGATATTCTGATTTAATTTTAAAAATATTATTTCATGCTTTTTAACTGTCTGCCTTAATTATCCAAATGCTGAAGAAGTATAGTCTTTTGATTGATGAGAGTTCCACCCCTTTACCCACATCCCTGCAGATATGAAGCTCCACAGTTTAGCACCATAAATCACTGTGATTGTAAAACTTAACTACTGTATGATCAGAGATCACATGCAGTGGTAGCCTGGATATGCATTCATCCTTCGTTATGAACGTTTTAGGGCTAAATTTATTCTGGATGTTTGGAGAAATATCTGTTTCTTCACTTAAGAAAGCAATTCATTTTAAATAAGCAATTCTTGCAACATTCTTGCAACAATTGGAAATAATCACAGAAGTCTTCTATTTGCAATCTTCATTAATGTGAGTTATTTCATCACTTTAGGAGAAATCTTTTCAGAGGAAAACAACAATTAAACCCCTCCCCCCAGACTCTGACAGCTAAGGATCTATGGATCAGCCATTTTAGTAATTAACCACAATTCCTCTGATTTGTGAATTTCCAGATGATGAGGCAGGAAGCAAGTTACATCTTGGAGAAATTGCCCTCAGGAGAGAGGAAAAACTATTGCGAGGTTGACAGCACAACCTTGTACCGGCACAGTTTCCCTTCCCCAGTGGTTCAAGGAGTTCCAAGCACCCTCCTGTAAATCATCAGCTCACATCTATTTATTATCTTCCAGCCCAGTGCACAACACTATCTGTTACACACGGATACCAGCAATATTGCAAGGTGGACTCAAGGGATAAAAGACAGCAAACCCTGCACACCTCCTATGCCTGAGTCACACCCACTATAAAGCCAGGCTCTGTTCATAAAGCTCATGCTGTTGTCAGAAATGAAACAATATGAACTGTTCTGGTTCAGAGTAGTGTTTTTGTAGTGTTTCTGCAATATGCTTGATCTTATCATCTTGATATCTTTGTGTTATTATACAGAGACAAAATTTATCTGCATAGTAATGGACAAAATGTCATTAAAATATTGCTATTCATTCAATGATTGTTGTTATATTTGGACTAGGCACCAGCTTCACTCTGTGATGCTTGTCCTGGAATATCAATAAATAAATCATAAAAGCCAATGCTTCAAATATTGAAAAATTCACACTTCAAACTGTGTTTTGAACTATACTGAGAGCAATGCCTCAGATTGTCCTTTTGCTTTATATGAACAGAAGAAATTCAAAGTAGGAGGAAGTGTCTCCTGGGATTTGGCATAGGGGAGTGCCACAAACCATCAGCCTTCCTGTCTCTGCTGTGCCAACGAAGCCTCTCCTGGGATGTACCACGAGAAACACACAGTGTGTCTGGGGAGTTAATGTGGCTTCAGATGAAATTATCTCCTGCAGAATCCATCTTGCCTGTTGTTTGAGTGCATGCAAAAGAGCCAGGCAGTGGTGAGGAGCCAGGCCACAGCAGGACAGGTGAAGGCACAGAAAAAAGTAGAAGCATTTTCCTATGACTCTGTTAAGTGAAGTTTTTGCATCACAGACTTATGCCGCTAGTGAAAATGGGACATCACGCCTCTTTTTCTCCTTCTTTCTGGAGCCCAAATTTGGCAAGAGCAAACTTACTGAAGTCCCCACTCTGTTGCCCATTTCACTCCTCACTAGTAACAGATACCTATATTCTATGGTGTGATTGACAGCATTAAAAGGAGAAATGAGGGCAAATGTCCTTCTGAAAAGTACACTCTAGTTCAAGCTCAAGTGTTTGGGCTGATGCCCAAGTTGCAGAATGACTTTCCATGGTTTGCATTGTGTGGGGGACCACTAGGCAATTCTAATGGTTCTTTTTCTTTTGCTTTAAAAGCACTGAAATTAGATGAAAGCTAGAAGTAGGAATGGTATTTTGTAGTAATTGTAAATGCAAAGCTAGATGAGCACTAGAAGTCACTCAGGTACATCTATTCAAAGGCCAGAAGAAAAAGCACTGCAGGTATTCAGTGCTTTATCTGATTAGAAAACAGCCTGGCACAGATGTGATTTCTGCTCCATATATCAAGCTATGGCAGGCTTTTGCTGCTTCATTATGAAAGCATGTGAAGTAAAATAGGTTTTGGAACATAAAAAATGACAAATTTGGAAAAATATCTATATGCCAGATGGGTGTAGGAAGAATCCTTGTGACAAATATATTATTAAGGGAATATGCATAAGGAAAGAAACTGTGCCCAGTTCTTCCAGGGATGGACAGGCAGGAAGGTAGCGTCTCACTGTGTCTAATGTATTTTCATCTAATCTAAATCTAATTAATTATGTTGCATCGCTGACAGACAATCTGGGCACTGCACACAACAATGGAAGGCTGCACCGGGGCTTCGGGAGGGCTGGCGGTAGCTTCGCCCTCGCTGCTTTAGTTCTCGTGGCCGGGGGAGCAGGCCGGGCTGCCGCCATCCCCGCCGGGGAGGGCAGGGCGCGCTCATCCCGGCCCGCCTGGCCTGCCCGGGGCGGCGCCGGGAGCGCCTGGGCGCGGAGCGTCGGCACTCCGGCGCGGCTTCTGCTCCCGTGCCGGGAAGAAATAGGAGCGTTTTGGCAGGGGCTGTCGCGCTGCACTGCTGCTTTGGGGCCGAGCTGGTGTCTGGGCTGGGTCCGGCCGCGCAGCTCCCGGCTGCCGGGCAGGAAGGGCTGCGGCACCGGGAGCTCGCCCCAGCTGCCTGCCCGGGGCCGAGCGTGGGCAGCTCCGCGCCCAAGGGCCGGCACACGGCGCACACAGGGGCGGCTGAGCTCTGCTCCAGCAGCCTCGGGGCCGGCAGCAGCGCCGGGCTCGGCCACGGGCAGGGCTGATGGACCGGGCCCTGCCAACTTGGGCTTCGCAGTGTGCGGCCGGTGGGCTCCTCCCGCCCAGACGGGTGGGCCAGGCCTGCGGGCCCTTGAGGAAACATCACTGCCTCTTCTTGAAAGCAGGCAAGTCAGTATTTCAGCTTCAGGAGCATAATAACCCAGAAATAACCCACGCTCTGGCCGGCCACTCCCATCTGGGCGGCCGACCCGGTCTGATGAGGTCGTAACAGCAGCCAGAGGAGCTGCCAGGGGATAATCACACGCCGAGCCTTTGGCTGTTGCCAGAGATGTAGAATACCTGGTCTGGGTTCAAGGTGTGGCGATCTAGCCGTGATTAATGCGTTCAGAACTGAAACAGAAATGGAGGTAGGGAGGGTGGTATGGCAATCGTATCATTTGGCTTCACATAATTTGATTTTACTGATGCCTCATCCACTATCTGATTACTCTTTTCCTATTTAATCCCAGCCAAACCAGGAGGCTTTTGCTCACAGGCTTTTAGTACTATTTTATTTGGCAGTTATGGAATAAAAGAATTTTAGTATTGCCTTAGAATTTCTCCTGACATCTATCACAACCAATCCAGCTCATATGTGGGTGAACTGTGTTTTGATCCAATTATAAAATTCTATTGGAGTCTTGTTACATTCTTATCCCATGTGCATGTTGAAAAATTCAAGAGCAAAAGAAAATTCTACAAAATGTTTCTCATTTACTGTAGGCTTGGAGACACAAAACTGCATCACATAGTCATTTGTGGAGGCTAATAGCAAACTAGAAAAACAACGTATTCTTCAGGAAAAACCCACCCTGTTAATCAGCAGCAAAACTTAGAGGGAGAACAGTACAATCTGTGTATAGATATTACTGGCAATCGTCTTTTGGAGACACAACATTACTTTTGTTAATTGTTGTAACAAGAACTTTGTTGATGTTCGTCCCAGAAGTTACAATGAAAAAGGATCTGCCAGTCTGAAGACGTTCTGGAGGGTGCATAAAAATGACAAATTTGAAAGAACCCAGACATAAAACGACCAAGGTAACACACAGCTAATGTCCCAATGGATTGCAATGACTATAATACTTAAAAATGAAGATACTTTACATACTCTTAGCATCTCTATAGCAAAAATGCATTATTAAATCAACAGCCCATGCACTATTTGATTACCATGATGGAGAAGTTGATCTAGGATATTTCTGTCTCAACACTTTCACTGTCTTCAGGCTGCAAAATATAATAAAAGGAATTAGGTGTCTTCCTTGCTCATCGGCTATAGAAAGCCATGCAGAGGCGTAGCTTCACAGACAGAGTGCTGCTCCCAGGGGAGGAAATGCACTTGCTCCAAAGCTTTCTGGCTCCATCCTGGTGGAGTCTCTCATGCACCTACAATCCAAATCCCCGTCCTAAAGCTGGGATGTGCCAGGACCAAGCCAGCAGCCCTGGGCTAGAGCCAAGCAACAGTGGCAGGGCCAGGGCCAAGTCTGGAGCTCAGACTTCAGCTGCGAGCTGTTCAGCCACATGGAAAAGCCAACAGCTCTTTGACTTTCCCAAATACTGCTTGGAATTCATCCCTTTCCCTATCGGCCTGTAGGGATCCTGTAGCTGCCCCTAAGAGCAGGGGCTGGGTGGCACTGCTGGGATGGACCTCTGTGCCCTGGCCAGCTGAGCTGTGTCCTCCGTGTGAACCCCAGGCCACTGTGCACCAAGGCAGCAGCAAGGCCATGCCGGGGGTGGGCAGGACACGGGTGGCCCTGCAGAGTGCTGGCACAGGCACCCTGCACTGCTGGGCTGGCTCAGCCTGCCCATGCTGCTGCTGTGGAAATGTGCAGGCAGAGGCTGGGAGGGGAACACCCAGCAGTGGTCACCAAAGCTGAGAAACCCAGCTACATACAAGGATGAGAGATGCATGTGTGCCCACGAACCATGTTAGGTTGTTCCCAAGGCTGTCTGCTCTTGGTTACATCAGTTTGGCCTCTCTGTGATTCCAGTAGCTTGATAGTCCCCTTTTCCTTATTTCTAGGGTACAGACTGGTTGTTGGTCCCCCCCTTCTGGAATCCTGTCTGTTTCTGCACCCCATGGGAGGCTGATAAACGTGGCACCTTTCCCTATGGCTTCCCCTGGTCACTCTGAGGCCCATTATTAAGCTCTGACACAAAAATCTGTTTAGTCACAGAAGCAGATTGCTTCCATGAAGCACAGAAA